GGAAGTCAGTCTGGTTGTATCCATACTGGCTTATACCAGATATACATGTTATTGCAATTATGTAGCTTAATTAGCTATTCTATAAACCAATGAAATACCAGAGTAAAAACAAAGAGTTATTATTTTCTAAGAAAATTAAATGGAAAGGTTTGGAGAGATGGATGACTCAAATTTGCTTAAAATGCTGAACAGTTAGAATCAGGTGAAGCAAACTTGTAAGAGACTGGAATTCGTGATAAAAATCTAGAAAAATCCTGAAGTCAGATTACTTCCTAGACATCGAAGTTATTTTCCCATTTTAAATAAAGATGGAATTTGTAGATGTTAAATGAAAGAGAGTTTTGTGCAAATAAAATGATGAACTTTAACCAGAAAAAGACCTTGACCCGACATTAAAAGCTCAGCAAATACATACATGTGTATATCTTCTGCATGAAAATAAAACGTTTTAATGGTTGTTTCTTTCTTCAACCAACTTTCAAAGTTAACCAACCAAGAAATTATTTGTCCCCACTGTACTGGATATGAGAACACATACTATTTAATGAGATCTGCTCCTTTTCATACCTTTCCTTCCTGTCTTTCTGAAAATTGAATAGCTACCCTATTTCCAATTTGATACAAAGTTATATTTCCCAAGAATTGCAGTCTCAGAGTTGTTCCTCAAAGCAACCAAGAGGGACTTAGAGCTGTCAAATATGTTTGGGGAGGGCCTCCCCGGTGGCGCAGCGGTTGAGCGCTGGGTTGCGAAGCTGCCCGCGGCCTCTGCGGCGCCGGTTCGATCCCCAGCTGCTTCCCGGCCACCGGCGGAGGATCCCACATGGCGCGCAGACCTCTCCTGTCGCCCGCTGCTCCCCTCAGCGGTGTACTTCAGTCCTTCTGCCTGCTCTGCTCCCCGCTCTGGCTCTGGTGAATTCTCTCACCCTCCCGCGCTTCTGACTGTACCCAGTGCATGTATAAACAAAACAAACAAACAAACAAAATAAATAAATAAAACATGCCTCTATAAAAAAAAAAATAAAAAAAAGATTTAAAAAAAAAAAAATATGTTTGGGGAAAACAGTCAAACCCTGTCTTCTCTTGGGAACTCACAATGCCTCTTAGTACACTATGAATAAAGAAATAAGCTAAACTTGGCATAACCCAGAACTCTTGGATGGGTATATCATCCGTAACATCCTATAAAAAGCACACAGGGCCCACAGAAAAGGTATAATGTTTGATTCCTATTCCTGAGTAATTTACAGCTGAGTCAGAGCTGTAGACATGTGGCTTTGACACACACATATACCCAGAACAGGTAAGTCACATAATCAGTAAGTCTCCTCTAGGGTTAGTATCCTCTTAGGGTTAAGTGACAGCAAAATCAGTAGGTGTTATAGATCAGAACAACAGGTCAGTCACCCACCTCTAATCAGTTTTCACAACTGTTGGGCCAAAGCTTCAAATACTTGTTCTTGGTCCACTGTTCTAGAAAGTTCAGAGAACTCACGTTTCTCAAGTGCAACCATGTGTGGGCACGATTCTTTGTATGTTACCTCATTTACTTTTTATAGCCATGGAAAATGGGTGTCATCTTTTTTCAAAGAAATAGAATCAGAGTGATGGCAGAGCTAATGGGAGGGCCTCCATCCATACCCCTGTCTACCTGTCTTTTTTCTACCGTGCCCAGGTGCCAAGAGCCTTCATCGTTCTTTCCTGAGCTGTTGGGTGGGCATGTGTGTGCCCACCTGTGTCTGGGTGGCCAGGCTGAGCCATCACACAGCCCTGCAGAGGACAGCAATGTTGCACTGTGTCCCTAAGTCTGAACTTGTCCCCATCTGTTTCCTTTCCTCTTCCAGAAGTTCTGGATTCTGACTTTGTAGGCTCAGGGGCCACTGTCCTGTCTCCTCTTGGGCGCTGTGAGAAAGCCATTAACTGGAGAACTTTGCCAGCATCACATGCTTTATTAACAGTCCCCATATTGAGTGCATTCTGAGCTGGAGAGGGCTGGGGGAGGGTGTGGCAGAAAGTCTAACTCATGTCCTTCAGCAAGTCCTCTCCATCATTCCAGGTCCCTTTTGAGTGGCCTTTCTGGATCCCTCCTTGACCTTCATCTCTGTGCTCAGCTACCCTCTCTCTTCGGTTATCCTCTGCCTTGCCAAGTCTGGCTGGCAGTAGCCATGGGGTGGAAAGAAAGACCCTGAGCCACAGAAGGTGCTCACCAGGAAGGGGGGGAGAGGATAAGGTGTGAATTAAGGTTCAAGGAGAGAGGTGAGCACAGCACCGAGGGACTGAGAGGGAGACCCTCCAGTCCCAGACCGAAGTGTAATCTCGGTGGTGAGCTGCAGCCGGGGAGTGAGAGGTAGCAGAGGCAGGACTCCAAGACTTAGGTGCTGCCCTGGATGCCGGGCTCCCCAGCAGGGGAATTTGTCTTGCAGCCTCCTTTCCCTCCTACATTTACCTCCCAACCCTCCAGTGAGGTTCTAGGTGTGTTCACATCAGTCTTCAGAAATGCAAGGGGTAGAAGATGGGGGAGGCTGGAAAAAGAACCATCATTTATCTAGCATCTCTGTGTGCCAGGGGCTTTGCTATGATGCCATTGCTTCACCAGAATCTTCATAAGAGATGACTGTGAAAGTGGTATGGAGATTCCTCAAAAACTAGAGAATAGAAATTCCATGTGATCCAGTTATCCCACTTTTGGGTATTAACCCCCCAAAGACAAAAACACTAATTTGAAGAAACAGATACACCCTCAAGTTTACTGCAGCACTATTGACAATAGTTAACAACTGGAAACTGTCCATTAGTTGAAGAAAGAATAAAGAAGATGTGTTTTATTTACACAATGGAATACTACTCGGCTATTAAAAAAAAGATGAATTCCTACCATTTGCAACAACATGGATGGATCTGGAGGGAATTATGTTTAGTAAGATGAGTCAGACAGAGAAAGACAAACACTGTGTGATTTTATGCATATGTGGTATATAGAGAAAACAAACAGATGAACTAAATAAAAGAAAAATAAGTTTTTGGCCTATGAGAATAATTAGTGGTCACCAGAAGGGAAGATGGTGTGTATATCAGGAAAAAGAGGATTATGATAGAATTGGAAGGATAGAAATTAGACTTTTACTGGTGAAATTAATGTGTTATATATATATATATGTTGATTTTCAATGATGAACTTATATGAAGTAACAATGCAATGTTACTTTAGTAAATCAAAGAGACAGAGAGATGAGTTTACAGAGAAAAGGAAAGACCTAGATTGAACCCAGGAACTTTCTAGCATATCTGCAGGCTAGTTAAACATCTCCATAGCACAATTGTGGAAATGCATCTAGATCCAAGGTGGGGTTGGAGGTCTCCTGTGCTATCCCCACCTTCGGTTCCACAGTGGGGCTCAGGCTCTGGGCTTAGGGGTCGCTCCTCCTGTGGGTGGGGCAGGGAGCTGTGACAAGGTCACAGGCTGGCAGGGCCATCTGAGCCTGTTGGCTCTCTGACTGTGGAAAACTAGCACTGGCAGGAGTACTGGGCACCCCCCCAGGAACTCCAACCACTGAGTCAGAGCTGCTCCCAGGGGTCCCAGGCTGAGCCCGCCCCTGCTCCCTGGTGCCACCACCAGGCTCTGGGTGTCTCTCTAGCCTCCTCTCTTAACCTCAGCCTTCCTTCCTGTTTCTCTAAATCAAGTTACTAGGCTGTGCTTTCAAAATGTGCTTCCCCAGCAAAGCACTGACGTGGCCCTGAGTCCCTAGAGTTGGGGGGTAGATACATGCGGGGGAGATACAGAGCTCCTGCCCTTCGTCTATTACCACAGCAGTTCTGTCTGTTGCTGGGTGCTCAGGCCCAGCACTTCCAGGCAGGTCCTGCAGATCCCCAATCTGAGAACCACTCCCAAGGCCAGGCTCCATGGCTTCTAGAGGCACTCCCGTTATAGATGAAGAGTTGTTGATTGACCAGCTGACTGATTAATTTCCATGATCTATTTGATTTCTCCCCTGCTCCCTGAAGAAAGTTTCCTTTTCCTCCTGGCTCTTTCCTGTACTTTGCAGCCCAGTATGGCTGTGATCCCTTGTACTCATCTAAATTTGCATATCTACATATTAGCAGGCTAGGCCTAGGCTGCTGGGAACCTGTCTGTGCTCACAGGATCTACCTCCCCCTCCAGACACACACACACACACACACACACACTCAGCCAAGACAGAGCAGACAGTGGCAGCGCCCGTGGCCTTTATTTATTGCTCTGGCCCTTGAGTGGTGTGAGGGGATTTCAGGTCAGTTTTGAAGTCCTTCCTGACATTCAACCAAATGCCTGTTTGTGGCCGCTCACACCTCACACACACACATAACTTCCACATGTTGGTTGGTACCCTAGAGCAAGCCACCCGCAGCAGGCACCTTATAAACATCCAATTTTAACCTAGGCCTTGTCGTCTTTTTATGAAGGGAGTCAGGGAGGTGTGTGAAAATGATTGTGCTGCTTCACAGCTGAGCTGGTTACATACGGGAGCCTGGGGCTCAGCCTGGCTGCCCCCGGGGCCTGTGGTCTCCACCGCCCCTCACCACATCTGGCTGCTCTGGATAGAGGGAAAGGGACACACACCCTCTGCTCCTCCAGCCATGAGGACTTGGGAAATGGATGAGCCCCGGTGGAGAATCAAGATTTTCTTACTGTCCTCTATGGAGAGGGGCAGGATGAACATGGCTGCCCGCAGGAAGAGGGTTCTGGACGAGTAACCACAACTCTGGCCCCCACTGTACCCTTGCCCAGTACCTAACTCTCTTCAAATATGTCCCTGTGCCTGCATTGGACATCACAGCAACAGGCACTAGAAAAATCTCCCAGCTGTAGGTCCCTCTGACCTGGCTTCCAGAAGGTGACCTCCTATCAGAGAGCTCTCTTGGAGCCCATACCCCCTCAGATCTGGAGATAGCAGCAGAGTTGGATACCCAAGGGGTTATTCTTACCCCGAGCTGCTACTCCACGTCCCCAGCACACACACACTCACCATGAGATGTTGGAAGAGCCAAGAACGCATTATATTGGTGGCATGCTTGGGCAAGACTCCTCGTTTGTTCTTGGACTTCTTATCCTCATTGTCCAGGAGGGAGGTGAGGTCAAGGTTAACCTTCAGGGCACGTGGAGAAAAAATCAGCATCAGCAGCCTGGCGGGCCAGCAGCTTGGGACCTGTTGCCATAGTGATGGCAGCTCGTGCTGCCACTCCCCTTTCCCAGCTCATTCTTAGGGCCCTGGGGAGGTCACCTTTTCCGTCACCCCACATCAGCCCCTTAGAGGAAGGGAAAAAGAGAGAAGGAAAAGGAAGGGCGGAAGGGGGTGAAAGAGGAAACAGGACATGCAGAGGGCAGAGGAGAGTGAATTTGCCATAAACCATCCAATAACAATATCTGTGGGATCCTTTATAGCTTACAAAGCGATTTGCTATGCTACGGTTAGCCCTCAGGACAGCCCTGCAGGTGTGTAGGGCTGAGTGCAGTTGGTGCTAATCCTGCTTTTGTGGATAAGCACTCTGGGACTTGGAGAGGTGAAGGTGACTTACTCAAGATGAGAGCTAATGTCAGAGCTCAGGCCTCTGACTTCAGATCTTCCTCCTGCCTATCCCCTTGCATGTACACAAATCCCAGTGAATTACAGAGTGGTGTGGAATGTAGAACAGGAGTAGGAAGTGCAGGACCTTATTCTTATCTTTCCTACTCTGGGATGCAGTGAAATCTTAAGAGTTGATAAAATCCTGGATGAAGTGGGGGTCACGGCACTCTTAGGGGCTAATGAGTCAGTTGTGCAAAGGGCCCAGCAGCCAGTAGCTGTGATGCCTGCCCTCCCCTACCCCATGCTCATGCCCTCACACTCACCTGTGTGTTCTGGATCTGGATGGCTCCCTGGGGGATTGCTTGGGTGACCACCTGACCCTGGGAGGTTACCATGGTAACCGGCTGGTATAAGGCTCCACCTGAGGAGACAACCAGTTTTGGGGTCCCCTGCTATGGGGGTGGGTAAGAGTGAGGATAAGCAGGGTTCCCAGTTCCTCTGGCCATCACATGTAGACACCCTCTGCTCTGGAGGTATTCAGCCCTTGTTGGAGAGGGGCGGGTAGGGGAGGGGTGTAGACCCTCTGGTGGGAAGGGTTTGGGGGATGAGGGTGGGATGCTAGCCTTACTTGGTTTCTGAGGGGCTCATGAGGTTTTGACAAAATAGTTCCAAACCACCACAGTCAGGTCTTTGTGCCCACCAGCTAGAAACATACAGAACTCAGCTGGGACCCCCTTCCTGGACAGGGAGCACCCCCTCCCACTTCCTAGAACATTTTGTGCAGTTTCCTGCCCCCACCCTGTAATCACTTCAGGATCACCAGTTCGCCTCCCAGGGATGTACCCCACAATCCCTTGCACCGACCTGACACCACTTGTGAGTTGACGGTCGTCATGGCGATGTTGCCCTGCTGGAGCGCTGAGGCTGGGACCACAATCCCCTGGGGGTTATTGGAGACTCCAGACATGGAATTGGGGGAATTCTGCAGGAGGTCCTGGCAGTAAGGGAGGCGTGGTTTGTGACAATGTCACTAAGAGCTTAGATGCCACAGCCCCAGATTCCTCTTCTCCCCTGTCCCCTTCTTGCTTTCCCTCCTCCCACCTTCCTGCTTCTTCCAGACCCTGATCCAAAAGCAATTCTCACGGCTTCCTAGAGAGAGTGAATAAGGAGGCTCGATATTAAAAGCCAAGCAGCCAGTCATTCACTTAGCTGTTCTATTTCCCTGCAAACTGGAGACATGACCCACCCCATCACCCAGGGGTCCCCCACTTTGACTTCACTTTGGACTTTCCAATCTTGATGTCTGGATTCCAACCCCAGAGATTCTAATTCAATCATTCAGGGGTGTGATAAGATTTCGGGGTTTTGGAAGCTTCCCTAGGTGAGTCTAAGTTGCAGCTAGAACTGAGAACCAGGCTTTCCCTGCTTAGCATCTCCCTGTCCTTCACACTCAACTGTCTCCAGCCCTATCCCTGACCTCTCCCCCAGGACTCTAGTCCTCAGGAATGGGCATCCCAGTGTTCATTTAGCCTAACCTCAGATACAAAGGGGCCGTGAACATTTTCACTTCGGCATCTGTAGTGCCTATCTCGGTGTCTTGCACATCGTGGCTTCTAAAACATTTATTAAATAATAATAATAAAAAAAGCTGTCCTAGGTTTTTCATAACCTGTCTTCTAGGGTGTCTTATAAGAACCTCAGCCTCAGCCACCTTCTGGCACATTTTATCCATTCCCTCCCCCTTCTCGGGCTCCCAACCAGAGCCCCAGCACCAAAAGTCTCCCTTTGTCCCATATTGTCACCCTGCCAGCCCCCATTTTTCCCTAGGAGACAATCCTTGCAGTTTGTCTTATGGCAGCCAAAGCAGCTGAGGTTAAGATGACCTTCTCTGGCCTCCTGGCCTCACCCATCCTGCTGTGCAAGGAAGTGTTTGGACCCAATGTTGAGGGATCTGGCAGGAGTGGGAGAAAGTAGCCCTCCCTGCTGGGCCACGGGCAGGTGCTCCAAGTCATGAGGCAGGAATAGGTAGGGTGTGTGAGAGGGCAGGAGCTTCTGGCTGTATTTGGAGAAAGCCAGAAAGGTGGTGACTGAGGTGTCAGGGAAGGAGCCTTAGAAGACCCGTGTAGGTCTCCTGGCTCACCTCGCCCCCAGTTCCTCATCTGAAACAGAGATGGGGCCAGGGAACCTGTCCAGGGCCCACCCAGGGCTGACATCCCCAGGCTCCAATTCTGGAATCACGAGGCCTGAGCTGTAAGGGTTTAGACAGGTAAGCAGTTCATAGACTTAATGGGGATCCAACGTAGAAAACAGGGGCCCTGTTTTCCCAGCATTTGCTTTAGGACTGGGAGAAGCGTGTGCTTTCAGTCAGCAGGGAAAGTCCAGAGTTTAAAAGGAGGAGAAACACGCATTGGGAGGGAAACTCAAGCCAATACCTAGTTGTACAGAGACAAAGTTAAAATATCAAAGCCCCAGGGAACAGCTATGGTGAGTTGCCACCCAGATCTTGGCACCCGGAAAATTGGTAGAGCCTCTTAGGAAGTGGCAGAAGGCAATGATTTATACAGCTCACTCAACCCAGCCAATGAAACCCTCCTGGGCATCTTCTCTAGAGCTTCCCTTTTCACCTTTCTGGGCTGTCCCTGAATCCAGAGCTGCAGGAGCAGCGCCCATAAATAAGCAGCATCCGGGCATGGGGAGTCAGCTCTCCCTCCTCCACCACCTGCTGCTTGGCTTCCTGGTCTGTCTTCTGGGGGGTGGGGAAGGAGGAGGAAGGAGGCCTCACTTCTATTCTTGGCTCACCTCTGCTATTGTGACCTTGGGGAAGGAAGAAGGTGGTTCTTGCCTTGCCTCCTCCTTCCTGGGACTCTATGAGAGCCTCCCAGCCAGTAAGGTTTATTCTTTCAGCAGAACTTATACCTTCCTGTTCATGCAGGTGAAGCCCCACACTGAGCCTGATAGGAGCCCAGAAACTGGGAAGGCCTTTAAAAGCCAGATAGCTCTCCTCCAGGAGGTGTAAATAAGGAACGGAACCTTAGAAACCCAAGTTACTGTCTAGTTAGCAGCTATAGGGCTAGAACCCAGCTCTCCTTCCTCCCCATGCCAAGAACTGGGTTGCAAGGTGCTCCTTGAGCCACAGGGCTCAGTAAGTAGTTATTGAAGGAAAGGTGAGTAGAAAAGCCAAATCAAACCCAGAAGGCCGAGGCAGCCTGGGCACCAGCTTAGTTTGGGAACCAGCCGGTTATGGTCCTCCTGTGTCAGGCCCAGGAAATATTGAGGCTGGGGTCTACTTGAAGGCTGAGCTTCCCTATCCCAACATCCCAGCTCTGGTTAGGTATTGATGTCATCTGAAGTCAAAGCAAACTTGGAAGATAAATTTGATAGAGGAGGGGGTCCCTCCATGCCACTCACCCTAAAACTAATGGAAATAACTATTCCATAATCTCTTATTTGGAAGAGATTATGAAGGAGCATCATGCCTGGGTGCGCCTCACTGGTGAAGAATATTTGGGAATGTCAAACATAAAAAGGTATCCCTAACACTCTTTCCCAAACTATGCAGCAACACTGGGAAAACACAAGACAAGTCAGTAAATAAATATGAGATGTGTGCCTTGGGCTCAACCAACACACATTTTTACCAACAGAGGCAAAAGTCACCTAGACCTGCTTGTTCAGCTCTGGCTGGGTACCCTCCTGTGTTGGGGTCTTTTCTGGGAGTGCTGCAAGGCAGCCAAGTTACATCAGCAAAGGAAAGGAATGGAGAACTCAGTGTCAGACGCTGGTTGCATCTTAGCTGGACAAAAGAGGAAGCGACATCTTGGTATCCCTGAGATTTGGGGTTGTGATATTCACCCCTTTCTTTGTAAACATGAATTGTTTCATAAACCAGCCTGAGCACTGTGGTGTTTTTAAGGACAGATTCTCAGGACCGTTGAGTTAGACTAGACCCTCAACGATCTGCATTTTTCAAAACCTCCTTCGGCTGGTCCCCCAAACCAGAAAGGGCTGAAAATGACCTAGTTATCATACACTTTGAATATTATAGGGAATTCTTCTACCATCAGATTTCATCTTAACCTCCCCACTACCTATGGGATCAACAGGAGAGAGATGATTCTATTTGTCTGAAGAGGAATTGAGGTCTGGAGAGCGAAAGTGACTTCTGAGTCAAACAGCTGTGCCCTGGACCCAGGTCTCCTGAGCATCATGCCAGTGGTCACACTGAGTGACTGGATGATGTGCTTGGATGTCAGCTGGCCAGAGTCCAAGGTAAGCATGGTGCCCGGCATATTTAAGCCACCAAATAAATTACTTCCTGCTTCTTTTGGCTAAAGCCACCCAACCAGGTAGTGCCACAGCCAGGATTTAAAACATGTCCCAGAAGTTCCAGCACTGCGTGGGTGCTCAGCAACAGAAGAGTGCCATCTGGGCAGCACCCCCATGGCAGTCAGTTCCCTTTGCTCCTGCCTCCCCACCTACAACATTCCTGCCCAAGGGCAAACCCCACAAGTCAAGCTGTAGCCCCTGCCTCAAACCAGCTCTGTGACTCAACTTTGTGGCGATTTCAGGTCCACTTTGGTCTCCAGCTCGAGAGACCCCTTGTCTTGTGGACACAACAGGGTTCGGAATCTCTGGAACAGTCTATAGGTCTCTTTGGAGGAAGGAGCTGTAATGGCAGCAGTAGAAGCCCCCCGGGGAGAAAATGTTGGCTAAGCACACAGCATTATTATCTTCTCAACAGCCTCCTCTTGGGCCTGTCAGACTTGAAACCAGTTAGATGCTTCTCTGTCTATACCCAAATAGACTGTCCTTCCAGGCTCCGTAGCACCATAAAGAGTTGAGAGGCATGTTTGGTACAATTTTAGTGACATTTTTCGGCTTCCGGAGTCTTACACCCCTACTGAATTGTTCAGGAACCAGAAGCTGAGAGCTGGTTATCCAATCCAAGAGCCCCTTGCTTTGAACATGGCACTGATGTCCCTAAGGCTCTGGAAATTGCTGGAAGGTTGGGGATCATGGGTATTTTCCTGGTTTCTTGGGTGAAGCATCGGTATTCCTACTTTCTATGAGTAAGAAACATACTTTCTAGTAATAAGATTCACTTTCTAGTAGGAAATAGACCAAAAGCGAACCCTCCCATAGAGTTTCCCAGGAGTGACCTCCACAGGACGAGCTGACCAAGGAGTCAGATGGAAACCAAGGAGCTGAGCTCCCTGGGCCTCCCGGGCTCTCTCCTCTGCTCCTTCCCAGGAGCTGCTTCCCCAGACACAGAAAGGCACAGAATTTCTTGGCAGGGGGCAGAGCAAGGTGGGGAGCAGGTTTAGAATGGCTGAGAGCTTGTGCCTGCTGCTGTGCTCACGCACTGGCTGCCTGGCCGTCGATCTGGACCACCTTGGCCACTGGATAAGTTTTACTCCAGATCTCATGCTTGGAACAGAAAAAGATGACTTGTTCAAAATGGAGACCTCACCAAGAACAGTCAAAGTCTCTGTGATTACCTTCGGAAGTGGAGGGTGGTGATTTGGGGTGGGGACCACCAATGAACAGGGTGACTATGAACTGACGTTGTGGTCTGATGTCAGCCTAGGAGGAGCTTTGCCAGTCCTGTGGGTCGCCCTTCTCCACTGTTAATAGGGAAGGGGCTTATGCTGCCTGGGGGACACTTAATTTCTACTAAAGATAGAGATTTATGGAATAAACACTGAAGGGACAAGAAATGAAGGCATGAAGGAAAGAACTGGTAGACTAGTTTCCCCTTACGTTATTCTGAAATAGGTAAATTTTTCTTAAGTAGGATGCCTTTGAAACAGGAATGAACCAGAAGACCTTGCAAAGGTCCTTCCAGCTGAGGATTTTAGAAAAATCAAGGTCGTTCTCCAGGATTTACTGTGTGGGTGAGTGGGGAGCCCGGAGCAGGCTCCTGCTGACTGCCACCCCAGGCCACTAGGGGTCTCTGCTGATCCACCGGTGCAGATGGGGCTCCAGGGGTTGGTT